CTGTATGTCATAGACACCAATCAAAATTGTGACACACTGAAGTCCAGAGGGGAAAATTCCTTGGTTGGATTTAATGTCAGCGGCACCTTTTATATACTGGTAAGTTGAATCTGAAATTTGAAGCAAATACATATATTCAGGTAAAGATTATTTAGAAGATAATGGTGAGTGTGTATATATAAACTCTGTCCTATATCCTTCTCTTTTCTCCTAATTTGGTAACCAATCAGGTTGAATCTTTGGATATCACTTGTATTGTGAAGTCATTTGACCTCTTGTATTTCACTTTTAAGCTGCTTGTATTTCATTTTCCTGATTATGAGAACTCTTGAAGGGAGAGAACATGCCTATCACTCCTGTGGCATCTCATATAGTATTCAGGTATTTGTTACCCATTAAGAGCATTTAAAAGCTAATAATCAGGATTATTTCAGAGCTCGTCGCTTGTTAATCAGAGGAGTAATATGAGATGAAGAAGCCTCCCTTGGGAATCTAACAGAAGGAGAATTACATCATCATCATTCTTTCATCCTTCAAGTTATAAAAAAGCACAAAAGGACGAAATTAATGGTGCTCCTGTGAAAAAGAGGCTAATGAGCTGGCTTTATCCTTAGGAAGGGGTCCTCAAAAAGTTTATAGAAAAATGGGGACTAGCAGTTAGCATAATGGTTATGTCACTGGACTCCCACGTAGTCGACTACGGTTCGTGTCCTGGACCCGGTGGCTTAAACTCACGCCGGGCGCATGTGCGTGCCTGCCCAAGATCCCGAGAGGAGAATGGAGGAGAAGGGATTGCGGCATGGCCATCCCCCCAGGGGGGTGATTTCTCACTTTCTGTCTCTCTGTCTCTCTCTGTCTGTCTGGCGAGTGCACACGCCCTATAGCAAAAACCTCTCCAAAAAAAAAAAGGGTTTATAGACAATGTGCATTATGGAACAATTGTAGCTTTCAAAAATTTTTTTCACCAAAAAAAATCCCTTGTAATTTAATTCCATTCTCCACAGACTTTTCAAAATCCCCTCATATATTCCAGCAGCTGACTAGCCAACATCTAAGGAGCTAGCCCACAGGTAAGACGTGCCTGGCAAAAGATCCAGAAAGCAAGATAACAGGATGGATTCAGGGTGGAACCAGGAAACAGGAAAGCCCTGCACCTCAGAAACTGAAACGGATGCCAATTCGCCCTGTGTGATATATTACTTGGGGGAAGATTCTTCAACCTGCTGGCTGAATGTGATTCTCTGATGATTACGCCCATCTTTACAATGCTGTGTTAATGTGCTTTCATGATGGGAAGGATGTATGTGTGTGTGGCATGATGAATGGTCCAGCTGTGTTGGGTGGACCATGCAAGAAAGGTGGGAATGAAACAAAGGAGAGGAGATTTCTTAAATTGAATACCTAGGGCATTCCATTAATAGCATCATCGAAGATGAGGGCTACATTTTAAAAATAGCAAGTTAGAGTACAGATCTCTTATATTGACAAAACAATAATGGTTAGGTTATACAAGGCTTGCAAACTAACTGCTTATGAATAGCTTTCAGCTGTGTTTTGCTTGCCCTTAAAAGTGGTTTTGACTGTTTAATTGAGTAAGTAACCAATGGCTAAAAATTTGGAGATCTCACTTAAAATCTAGGATTTTGGGTTGTCTTTAAAATTCTGAAGATCTTGTCTGTGCTTCCATATGACAACAATCTGCTGGAGCATATGTGTTCCACTGGTCATAATAGCTACCACTTATTTTCTCAGTTATTGACCAGTTTTGCCCCTGATGTCTGGTAAAGATGAATGAAGTCATCTTTGTATGTGTACTTGTATGAATATATGTGTGTATACAGCAGGTATATATATATGTCTGTGTGTGTATATATATATGTGTGTGTGTACATATACATATATCTATAAAACATAACACATTATAACATGCTTATCCCAATTCTTCATTTATAATTTCAAATCTTTACAATTTTAGAGATTTCTAGGATAGTTAAACTATACTCAATGGGACCAGCAGATGGCATAATGGCTATGCCACTGGACTCCTATGTGGTTGACTGCAATTCGAGTCTCGGACCCAGCAGCTCAAAACTCATACTAGCACATATGTGAGTGTGCCCAAAATCCTAAGAGGAGAATGAAGGAGAAGGGGGGGGTGTTGGGGGTGGGGGTGTTTTCTCTCTTTCTTGTCTCTCTTTCTCTCTCTGTCTTTCCAGTGAGCACACATGCCCTATAGCCAAAAATCTCTCTAAAACCAAACCAAAACAAAACTATACTCTTTTATTTTTCCAAGCCAAAAAAAAAAAAAAAAAAAAAAGAGGAGGAGGGGGGTTGTGAATAAGAACAAACATGGGAAAACAAATAAAGCAAATATTATCTCCTATATTTACCTATGGGATCCACCCAAATTCCTAGGATGTCCTGTGGAATGCTGATCTCTAGCAAATCCAGACTTGGGTCAGAAAAGGCAACGTCCTGATGAACAACTTTGGCTAATGCTTCAGATGCCAACTTGTTACCATTAAGGACTTTGTTAAGAAGCTCCACTGTTTCCTCCTCTGTTGAACACAGTTTCAAGATAATCTTTTCCCCTGGAATAAAGAAAAATGAGAAGCCACTACATTTCAAGAGTTTCCGTGGAGAAATAATAACAGAGAGAGGGGGAGAAGTAGTGAGAAGTCAGTGAGAGCTATGCACTCGGACTGGGTGAGGGCCATCTGTCCAGACCGTGGTTCCTAAGCCTGGCTGACTGCCAGGATCACCTGGGGAGTTCCATAAAGTTCCAGCTTCGGCTGCCCTTGGCCTTAATCTGACTCCCTTCCTCTGAGAAAGATATCCAGAGGGACACAATTTCATATCCAATTTAAGAGGGCTCATAGACCATTTAAGATTTCCTGAATCTCAATAATTAATGTTTTATTTTTGACTTCACATTTAATATACTTAGGTCACTTGGTGCATGTATGAATGTTATTGAGAAGGATGGAAGTTTTTTTTTTTCTTTTTTTGAGGGTTTTGCTATAGGGCTCGTGCACTTGCCAGAAAGACAGAGAGAGACAGAGAGACAACAGAGAAACAGGGGGGATGGCCATGCCACAATCCCTTCTCCTCCTTTCTCCTCTTGGGATCTTGGGCATGCATGCACACATGCCTGGCGTGAGTGTAAGCCACCGGGTCTGAGACTCGAACCACAATCGGCTACATGGGAGTCCAGCAACATAGCCATTACGCTAACTGCTGGCCCCAAGGATGGAGGTTTGATCAACACATTGAAGTGCTACCTCCTTCTATGTTAGTGCTTTTAATTAAAAATGAGTTCTGCTAAGTAATACAAGATGAAGAATACTAATCTTTAGATGTAGCAAAACTGGATGAGTCTAAATCAGCAGTCCCCAAACTTTTTGGCACCAAGGACCAATTTTGTGTAAGACAGTTTTTTCACACACTAGGGAGTGGATGGTTTGGGGATGATTCAAGCACCCTCCATTTATTGTGCACTTTATTTCTACTATTATTACATTGTAATATATACTGAAATAATTGCACAACTCACCACAATGCAGTCTTTTTCTTTTAAAGAATTATTCTATTGAACTTTATTTATTTATGTATTTACTTATTTTAATTTGACTAGAGAGGGACAGAGAGAGAGAGAGAAAGTGAGAAAGCAAGCCGCCAGGTCCTAGACTTGAACCTTGGTTGACCATGTGGGAATCCAGCGCCCCTAACCACCACGCCACCTGCCAGCCCCCACAATGCAGTCTTTGCGGCAGCTACCCAGCACTAGCGTCACTGCCTCAGCTCCATCTCAGGTCATCAGGCATTGATTCTTATAAGGAGAGGCAACCTAGAGCCCTCACATGTGCACTTCACAATGCTGCTGCCACTGACCTGCCAGGAGGCGGAGCTCAGGCAGTAATGTGAGTGATGGGGAGTGGCTGTACGTACAGACCAGGCTTATCCTGCTTGCCCTTGCTCACCTGCTATGTGGCCTGGTTCCTAACCGGCCACAGACTGGTACCAGGGGATGGGGACCCCTGCTCTAAATGACATACATGGAAAGGTCTCCTCTGTGAAACCAACTAAGAATCAGAGTGTAAGCAAAGCTGCTTCTCCAAATGAAACCAGGGGGTATTGAGTCAAAGTGCTGTACCATCACTTTAAACAGCTTCTCAGACCCTTGGTTAAGCCATTTTCCAGCCCCCAACAGAAGCAGGAGATGAGGCTGGTAAAAGTAGGCAAATTAACAGCAACTAGAAGTGACATGAAGAAAACAGTACTCTGAGAAATTAAGGAAACACGGGCGTTTTTAGGTATGTAGATAAGTATTCCTTGCTACCCTTCCACTCTACCACAGACTTACTGAATTTGAACAAGATCCCAAGGTGATCAGAGGTTCAGTAAAATCTGGGGAGCACAGTATGAATCTATTACAATAATAACTTCTGCTCTTTTGCCACTCTAGAAAATGCAGAGTCCTTCTCACGATCTGGTCCTGCCTACATGCACATCGTCCACCATCCCTCCTCTTCCTTCTACAGCTTTCTCTGCCCTTTTAACTAAGAGAAAAATTGGGTGTGGAATGCCTTCTTGCTCCTACAATTCTAAATAAATGAGTATTAAAATAACTACTTATAAAAAAGTCAAATATAGAATTTTAAAGGAAGGATGTCTTATGAACCAATCACAGGAGTATATTTTTAGCCTTCAAAAGTTTACGTGAGATTTCTCTCTCTTCTTACAGAGTGTCTTGGAACCTATTGCATCTTAACACATAGCCCATGAAGAGGACTAAAAACTGTTTAGAGTTAATCGAAAAATCTGCTTTCTTTGTAAATGTGCTTCTAGATGCCTACTTGTCACACGATCCATATCCAAGGTTCATTATTTTAGTTTTTACCACTAAACAGCAAAAAAGTCCAAATTAAAAAAACAGTTTCTCTGAAAAGAATCAGAGAGAGATTATGATTTTTTGTCTAACTACAACAGAATGAGGAGGTCCACTAAAAGAAAGTAAAAGTGACTTAAAACGTGGCACTAAGAGGAAACTTAGTTAGTCCAACTCCCTTTACAGAGGTTCTAAGGTCCAGAGGCATGGTAAAGGAACTTGCTCAAGATCACAGTATTTCAGAGCCAGGACTTTCTTCACACTTTTCGCTAAGGTCCATGCACTCCCCAGGGAGTCTATGAATGGGTTTCAACCTAGAACCTGACTGGTCTGCACAACTGTACAAATACGAATATTTCTGGGTATATCTACAGATTCTCAAAGGGTTATACAATTTTACCAAAGGGTAAGTCAGAAATTATTTTAAAACTACAGATTAAACTCTAAAATTGTACATAGACGTCCTAAATGATTCTATGCCACATCAATCTCTCTTCAACTTTAATGGCATGATATTCTCAGGCAGAGACTGAATAAAGCTTAACATTCACATAGACTGTGTTGTTTATGTTGAGAGGCTTCAAAACATTTATTTCAAGAAGAGTAGAATATCATGTGATAACCAAGTTATAAAAACATAATAAGAGGCTTATACTTACCTAAATCATTAGTAAACTCATTAGATTCTTCTCCAAAAATATTTTTTTCCAAGCCTGGAAACTGAATGATTCAGAGTATGACAAAAATATAATAACAAAAATCAACACATATATTCAATTCTGAACAGATTTCTATTTCAAATTAAATAGCACAAGGAGATATGACATTCAAAAATTTCAAATCCTAGAAACAAATTCAAGTATGAAAAAATGAAGTCAGATGGGGCCAGACAGTGGCATGGTGGTTAAAGTGGCTGGGTCCCACATGGCCAACTGTGCAGTTCAAGTCCCAGCAGCTTGAAACACCTGTCGGGCGCATATGCGTGCATATCTAAAGTCCTAAGAGGAGAATAGAGAAGAAGGGATTGAAATTTGGTCATCTCCCCTTGAGGGGTGCTTTCTCACTTTCTCTCTCTTTTTCCAGTAAGCACATGTGCCCTATAGCTAATTACAAAAACAAACAAACAAACAGACAAAAAACACAAAAACAAAGTAGTTGAAGTCAGCTTGGTTCAGTGCTTAGTTTTCTAATATTTTCTGCTCTTTTGCCACTCTAGAAAATATAAATATTGGTAGAGTTCTGGTTTGCTAAGTACTTCTAGAAACTTCATTCTGCTCTATAAGGGCTAGGATGCTTGCAAAGGAGAGATTTTAACCATTACTCTTAAATAGCACCCTAGTAGCTTATATGAGTTAATAATGTTGATCAAGTACTTAAATTTATTACTTGAGACTAGGTAGATGAGAAGAGAGGATAACAGTAGATTTTGTTTTCATTTTCAAATGTGCTTTTGTACCTATTGGAGGTATCATTAGTGTTTAGGCTATGGAGGTGATATAGAAAAAAAATGTTTTAAAGAATTACTTATTTAATTTATTATTATCATTTATTATTTAATTTGCTATAGGGCATATGTGCTCACCAGAGACAGAGAGAGAGAAAATGAGAAAGCAAGCTACCAAGTCCAGGTCTCGAACCATGGTTGGCCATATGGAAGTTCAGCACCTGCTACCTGCCAGCCCCTAAAGGAAAATATTTTATTGATCAATACATTATACATCCATTTGGGTTAAAAGAATGGAGTCAATAAGAATTTTCTCTTACCTCTGTATATTTTGCTGTTGATCCTCAAGTAGTAAAGATAATTTATCTCAAAATATGTACCAAATTATGATATGAATGATAGTCAGGTGTGTAAAACTAAGGAAATATTTTAATTCAGTTTTCTACAGAAAGCCAATAGCCTTAATAATGCCCACAGCCACTTGTTATATATTTTCTCTCTCTCTCTCTTTTTTAGGTTTTTGCCATAGGATGTGTGCACTTGCTATAAAGAGACAGACAGAGAGAGAGAGAAAGTGAGAAACCACCCCTTAAGGGGGATGGCCATACTGCAATCCCTTCTCCACTCTTCCCTTGGGATTTTGGTCATGCACACACACACATGCCCAGCATGATTTTCAAGCCACCAGGTCTGGGACTCAAACCGCAGTTGGCCATATCGGAATCCAGTGCATTAGCCACTACACCACCCCCCCCCTTTTTCTTTTATAAGAGAGTACAAGTAGACAAGGACTGAGGTTTAGTCTCCCAAGCCTGCTTAGAGACCCATTCCTGGGCCTATTGGACAGAAGGGTCATAAAATAAAATAAAATAAGTTATTTATATAGCCAAATGGAATATCATTTATTTGTTCTTAAGTTCTGGCATTTATTCCATAAAAACAATTGCCTGAACCTGTTACAATGTTTTGGGGGAAATATGAACCCACAGAAATTAATGTCGATACATTTCTAATATAGTTGCTCAGTCACCCCCTTGCACCTCACTATCTTGATCAGTCACAAACAAGAAAAACTTGTTCCATTTACTTATTTGGAGCCAGATATAGGACATGATCATCTATAGTTTATAGAGATTTCATGGGGTCATTTTTTTTTTTTTTGGAGAAGTTTTCGCTATAGGGTGTGTGCGCTCACCAGACAGAGAGAGACATAGAGACAGAAAGTGAGAAATCAGCCCGCAGGGGGTATGGTCACACTGCAATCCCTTCTCCTCCATTCTCTTCTCGGGATCTTGGGCACACACACACACGCGCCCGGCGTGGGTTCTAAGCCACCAGGTCCGGGACGCAAACCGCGGTTGACTACGTGGGAGTCCAGCGACATAGCCATTATGCTAACTGCTGGTTCCCTATGGGGTCATTTTTTACTTCTTCTCCTGTCTGTGATCAAGATTTAACTTAAGTAACTCTAAATAATTCCAAATATCTTGAGAATTTCATAGAGACTGTTTCAGGATTTTGTAATGCTTCCAGTTGTATCCTCCCAAATGTAAAAAATATATAATTATTAATTTATTACATAAAAGGCAATATAGTACTGCAAAAAACAGATTCTAGAACTAGTTTGCCTATGCTGAGAAGCCTACCTCCTTTTTCTTTTTTCTTTTTTTGCTATAGGGAACTTGCGCTTACTAGACAGAGAGAGAGAGAGAAACAGAAGAGAAGGAAAGTGAGAAATCATCCCCTGGCCACCATCCTTTCCCCTCCATTCTTCTCTCGGAATTTTGAGCACTCATGCACGTGCACCCAACTTGATTTCCAAGCCACCAGGTCTGGAACTTGAACCGCATGCTTGGCTACGTGGGATCCAGCACCTTAACCTCCATGCCACTGTATAATTTTACCTAAGTTAGTCAACCTTTTTGTGCCTCCCTTTTCTCACCTATTACATTGGAATAATAGTTCTTGTCGCATAAAATTGTTACAAGGGTTAAGTAAGTTAATATATTTAAAACCTTAGAATAGTGTCTGGCACAAAGTAAACATTTATAAGTGTCTGCTAATATAATAATGATACTTATTATTATTAATGATATTAATAACAACATTAAATATTAGTGATAATATTGATCATTATTATTATAATTATTAAAAATATAATAATATTTCTCCAGTTATCTCAAAAAAGATCAAAATAATTTATAAAAAATGCTTTTTTTCTAGAATAAAGGGAAACTTTAAAGTCTACAGCTATAGCTATGCCTATGGGCCAGTAGGTGGCGTGGTATTGAGGTGCTGGACTTCCACCTAGCCAACTGCGGTTTGAGTCCTGGACTTGATGGCTTGCTTTCTCATTTTCCCTTTTTCTCTGTTGAGTGCATGTACCCTACAACAAAAAATTAAAATAATAAGAATTAAATTAAAAATTTTAAAACGTATCCAGCTATAAAACCACAATGAATGCAATAATTAGAATAACCAAGGTGAAAAGATGAGATTTACTATATTAATTTTTTTTAAAGTTACAAAACATTGTGCTTTCATTTCTGTTGAAATAAATCCACATGTCATGCACACACATACACGTAGAATGAAATGTACTACCAAAATTTAGCAAAACATACTACGGCTTTCTGTAGTAGCAGCATGAAGAGAAATTTTTTTTTGGCTTATTTTCTAGGGAACATGTAATATTTATGATGAAACTCATTAATAAATGAAAGACATCATTTCTCTACATGTTAAAATGGGGGCAATTTTCATTTTCTTATTCATTTTTCTCTTTTAAAGATTTCCTGCAATGAATATTTTAATAATATTATAATCAAATCAAGGGGGGGGGGAATCCGACGGTGTTCGCCCAAAAGCTAGTGTGCTGACATAGGGAGAGAGAGCAAAAAGCGTGCTCCTCTATGAGGGCAACAGCTACCAAGGCACTGGGTCTGCAATTACCTTGGCTGTGACCTTTCTTACCTTGCTCTCCATATTCTGTTTTATGACTTCCTGTACCAGTACATCAGCCAGGGTCTTGAAATCCACTGCAAACTTCTTGTTCTTTTCTCCTTCTTTCTTTTCTTCGATCAGCAGCTGGAAGAGGGCTTCCTGCTGCCTGCACGCCCTGGCAATGTTGGCAGCTTTCTCAGAGACACAGAGCAGCTCCCGGAGGATCTCTGACATTTCTGAGCCCTGCTTTTCCGCTGCAGCTGCTGGTGAAACAGCACCCACCCTCTGGGCCGTCAGCTGGAAAAGTACAAGAATGTGAAAGAGAAAGCAGTTCAGAGAGTGATGTCAGGGTGCCTGAGGCACTACTCACAGCCCATCTGGCAGTCGACCTGGGTAACAGCATGGCTGAACAGCTAGTCTCTACCATTCCACATCCTCTGTGTGGACGTCTGTAGAGATCATTTATAATTTATTTTTTTTAAATCTTGAAAAAAAAAACCTATTTGTACTCTCGAAAATACATTACACAAAGAACTGAATTTTAAGTGAAAGTAAACGTTTTTGAATGAGAATTTACATTATAGTTATACATGATCAGACAGACAGGTGGACACACAGCACAATGTGAAAGGAAAGACACATCCTTGTAATGACCCTGGCATGATCACATAGGTTCAGCGTCAGTACTGAAGTAGTGCTCTTTCTTTTGCCTGTGGGAAGAAGAAAAGAGAAGGAGAGGAGATATGCTACTGAATATCAAGTCCAGGGCAACTTTCTGAAGTAGTAAGCTGATCAGCAAGCGCTCTTGCATTCTGCAGGATTCTAAGGTCATTCTTGGATTCGCTCTGCAAGTCATCTCTCCACCAACTCCCTCTCCACCACTTGAAATTTTTAAAAACTCCCACTATCTGTGTTCTCTGCTATGCTATTCTTATTTAAGAATTTAAATAAGAAAGGGACCAGCAGTTAGCGTAATGGCTATGTCGCTGAACTCCCATGTAGCTGACCATGGTTCGAGTCCCGGACCCGGTGGCTTAAACTCGTGCTGGGCGCAGGTGTGTGCGTGCCCAAGATCCCGAGAGGAGAATGGAGGAGAAAGGATTATGGCGTGGCCATACCCCCCTGGGGGGGTGATTTCTCGCTTTCAATCTCTCTGTCTTTCTGGCGAGCGCACGCACCCTATAGCAAAAACCTCTCAAAAAAAAAAAAAAGAATTTAAATAAGAAAATAAAGTGAAACATCCAGCTTGTGGGACTTAAAATCTAATGGCTTCTAAGAGTGTTCTCATACCTTGATATATTTATTTGGTTTATCTTGTAATTAGGAAAGAAACATGTCTCATCATTTTTGAAATAGTACCTAGCTCTTATTGAATGCTTGAATAATTCTTATCTCATTATTCGAAGAATTTTTAGGAGGATTATCGGTGCTGTTTTACAGTTAAGGAAACTGAAGCTTAGAGAGGTTAAGTAACTTCTTTAGGGTTACACAAGACTAAACGGTAGGACCTGGAATCAGTCAGACACAGAAGCCTGGGCTCTTTGTGTATGATCATAATAAACAGTTTCCTTCATTAAAAGTAGTCCACTTGATGAACTCTAGGAAGCTGAGAATTAGCACAACTCTGAAGATGCCAGAGCAGCAGAGTTATTATAATTGTGAATTACATGCAGTGGTTGGTTTGTTTTAAACAAGTTTGCTAAAAAATGTACTCCTCTTCAACCTCCATTGTAATAAAAAAAAAAAGTGAATAAAAGTAATACAGTCTCCTTTTTTATTATTCTATATGTTTTACAGTTAATATTTATTCTTGGAGTGTGGTGAAACAAGTGCTGATGCTCTGTAATTAGCATGCACACAAACAGGCAATTTGACAAAACCGTGTCAAAATCCTGTAGATGCTACTGCCTTTTAAATCAGAAACTCCGGTCTTTCCTTAATCTGTGTTAAGGAAATCACAGTTGACATATTTTTGTGCAAGCAAGATTACCATTATTTACGGTATCAAAAAGTTGAAAATCTGAAACTTCAGTAAAATGTAAGATAGAATAACTATGCGGTCAGTGCAATTATATCTCTGAAGAATATTAAATACGGAAATAAGTTCATGCCATAATGTTAATTGGAAAAATGACCTTTGACCATATGTCGTGTGATGATGTGTTACCAATTTGTATTTAGACATACACAGAAAAAGAAAGAGATTGTAAGAAAGATGGGTGGATATTTTAATGGTACATAGTTATTGCTAACTAATAGAATTATGAATGACTTCTTTTCATTATGCTTTTCTTTAACTTTCAAATACTTTCCAGTAAATATATAGTGTTTTGATAATAAACAATGGCAGGCCAGCAGGTGGTGTGGTGTTTAAGGCACTGGACTCCCACATGGCTGACTGTGGTTCCTGAACCTGGTGGCTTGCTTTTTCATTTTCTTTCCCTCCTTCCCTCTCTCTCTCTCTCTCTCATGAGTGTGCATTCCCTATAGCAAATCTAAAATAATAATAAATAAAATAATTATTAAAAAAATAAGACATGGCATTTTAAAATACCTTGTGGCAACTAAGCATGAAGATACAAGAATTCCTCAGCTCCTTGAAGCAATTGTCTAAACAAAATGGGGCAACTTCAAACCTCTTGTTCTTTTCTCCTTCTTTCTTTTCTTCAATCAGCAACTACAAGAGGGCTTCCTGCTGCCAGCACACCCTGGCGGTGTTGGCAGCTTTCTCAGACACAGAGCAGCTCCTGGAAGATCTCTCAGATTCCTGAACTGTGCTTTTTGTCTGCAGTGGAAATAGTAGTCCCCCACTCCCCCCTCATCCATGGTTTTGCTTTCCACCTTTTCTGTTACCTGTGATCATCCATGCTCAGGAAACAGGTGGTCACAGTAAAATAAAGTATTTTGAGAGAGGGAAAGAAACCACATTTACATACATTCACATATTACAGTATATATTCTTTTATATTTCTTGAGAGGTTTTTGCTATAGGGCATGTGCGCTCGCCAGAAAGAGAGAGACAGAGAGACAGGAGACAGGAACAGAGAAATCATCCCCCAGAGGGATGCCATGTCGCAATCCCTTCTCCTCCATTCTCCTCTCGGGATCTTGGGCACGCACGCACACATGCCCACGTGAGTTTAAGCCACCAAGTCCGGGTCTTGAACCGCAGTCGACTACATGAGAGCCCAGTGACATAGCCATTATGCCAACTGCTGGTCCCAACAGCAGTTCTATTTTATTATTAGTTATTATTGTTAATCTCTTACTGTGCCTAAGGTATAAGTTAAACTTTATCAGAGGTATGTAATGTATAGGACAAAACAATGTATATAGAGAGTTCAGTCCTATCTAGGTTTCAGTTTCCTGGGAGGGTCTTGGAATGCTTCCCCTGTGGATAAGGGAGAAACTACTGTAACACAAAATGCTTTCAAGTGGTAGAGAGGAGGGAACCAGCAGTTGGCATAATGGCTATGTCGCTGGACTCCCACGTAGTCGACCACGGTTCGTGTCCCGGACCCAGTGGCTTAAAACTCACGCCGGGCATGTGTGTGTACATGCCCAAGATCCCAAGAGGAGAATGGAGGAGAAGGGATTGAGGCATGACCATCCCCCCTGGGGGGTGATTTCTCGCTTTCTGTCTCTATGTCTCTCTCTGTCTGTCTGGCGAGCGCACACGACCTATAGCGAAAATCTCTCCAAAAAAAAAAAAAAAGGGGTAGAGAGGACTCAGTTAAAACTTAAATAAAAATATTTGTCTACTTAAATGCCTTTTCTTTCAGGAATGAACGATGCTGCAATATGCTAGATAACTTGAACCTAAGCATTAAGAAAAATGTATGCATTAGTAAATCTGAAGTACTTTGACTTAGAAATAATTTATATGATATGTATATATACATATACATATATGCCACAAACAGTAAATTATTTATAATATACACACCAAGATGCATACATAGTATAATATACCAGCACCAAGAGTATAAATCCAATAACCATAATTTTGATTTCTTAGTAAATGGCAGCTATTATAAATGAAGTGAAAAAGAATCAATGAACCAACAGTATCTGAGTAGCTTTTTATCTCACACACAGCAAGATTTTAAGGAGTCAGACATTGAAGAAAGATAGACAATATCAGTATTGCCTACTCAGCTTGGTTAAAACCAGTGAATTTTGGTGAGCTACTCAGAAAGCTACATACCACATACCATGGCCACTCCCTCTCCTCCTCCGGAAAGTTTCACCTGACAAAGTCCTGTATAGCTGCTCCAGGAATCTGGAGTTTCTCCTCTTTGGACCTGACCTCCATGTCCTCAGTAACGACCATTCTCAACCCATCTGAGCACCTGTTGCTTCCAAAGCACAGCAACTTGGGCCGGAACACAACAATGGGCAGCAGCTACCAGCTCTAAACTACTACCCTGTAATCAACAGATGTGTAGGGTTTATTTTTTCAGGTTTTTGCCACAGGGTGTGTGCGCTCACTGAAGAGAGGCAGAGATAGACAGAGGGAAAGTGAAACATCACCCCCCACGCGAATGGCTGCGTCATAATCCCTTCTTCTCCATTCTCCTCTTGGGGCTTTAGAAACACACACACACACACACACACACACACACACACACACACACACTGCATGGGTTTCAAGTCTCCAGGTCCGAGACCCAAACCACAGCTGGCCACATGAGAGTCCAACACCTTAACCACTAGGCCACCTGCTGACCCTGGAAGAACCCTTTTAATTAGTATTTCTCAATGGGTGTTCTGAGAACCTTCTATATTTGAATTACCCAAGGTGTCTACTAAAAAGATAGATTTCTAGTTTCCACCTCAAGCTATTGAAATAGAATCACTGGGAAAAGGCCCAAGAGTCTACATATTTATCAGTAACCTGAATTAACACTGAGATTTAATAGCTCCTGTTCTCCAGGCTAGTCATGCTTCTCTACCATCATGCTGGTATTTCCAGGGGCCAGCTGAAACCTGGTAACAGGTATCTTGGAGAATCACATAGGTTTAATGGTCCTGCTATCAATGATTCACATGCAGAGATAGGCCGAAGTGGAAATAATAATAGCTAACATTGGCTGTAGCCTAGTGGTTAAGGGAGCTGGAACCCACATGGCTGACTATGATGTAATCTCAGCCCTGGTGGCCTGAGAAACACACCAGAGGTGTGCATGTGCATTCCCCAAATCCCAACAGGATGAAGAAATAGAGGAAGAAGAATTGCAGTGTGACCATGCCCCATTTGGGAAGGGGGGTGCTTCCTCTCTCTCTCTTTCTCTGAT